TCATTTTTGGTATAGAGGAATCCAACTGATTTTTGTATGTTGATCTTATATCCTGCCACTTTGCTGAATCTTCCAATGAGGTCTAGTAGCTTTTTTTTACTGAGTCTTTGGGGTTTTCTACGTATAGGATCATATCGTCTGCAAATAGGGAGAGTTTTCACTTCCTCTTTGCCAATTTGGATGCCTTTAATTTCCCTGTCTTGCCGAATAGCTCTTGCTAAGACTTCCAGCACACTATTCCATGGGTTTTTTTCTGTGAACTTTCACTAAGGTTTAATTTTCTCATCCTCTTTACTCCCAGATCCCTAGATTCAGAGTCAGAGTCAGAGTTACATCAGAACACTTACATTAGCTATTTGTATACAAGTCTCATCTCCCCTACTCAGTTCTATATTTCTAGTGGGCACAGGCTGTGTCTTCTCATCCCGTGTCAATAAGAGCTTGTCAAATAGAAAGGTTCTCTCACAAGTTACAGGTTACAGGAGCTACCCAGAACCAGAGCTGTGAAAGTGTCTACTTTCACTATGGCTCTTTTCTATTTCAAAGGGTTAATGCTTGGCTGAGATTTCACAAGACGGTAGTCTGGCTCCAGACCTCATCAACTGCCTATTGATGATTTCCTTAAAACAAATTCACTGATGATTTTTGCCATGAAACACTTGTTAGCAGAATGCTCAATTGAAACATACTCCTTTTAAAAAGGTTTTGGTTGGCACGTGATTTCATGCTAACTTCCTTAGAGTGGCATGAAAATGGCTACTTTTTATCCATACATTGTAACTATGCAATAAACCTGAACCTATCAGGAGAGCAATACTTATGCAAGCTCTTTATTTATAGCTATATGGAAGAGAAATCTTGAAAGTCTTGGAAGAAGTCTATACCTGGCTCCCAATTGCTACAATAATTGACAATGAAATTCTGATCATGCATGGTGGGCTGTCAATGTCCACAGACTTGAATTTACTCCACCGGCTAGAAAGACACAAAGTAAGAAGTAATATCTGCATAAATCTTATCTCAGAACTATATTAAGGAATATGTGCCTCTTTTAATTTATTATTGTATATTAATTTGTGCTTTTATGGTTATCATAACTGAAGAGATACGTTAACAGATTTTTAATGTTTATGACTACTTGATAAAGAACTAGATGAGTGACTTCAATATATAGAACATGTTTTTAAAATTCATGGTGGAAGTGGGGAAATAAAGAAATGTTACCATTTTATATGTTTCTAAAAGTCAAAATTTCTGATTTTTAAAAAAAGTAAAATCTCAATTCACTTTTGAATTGATATAATTTCCTCTATAATATATTTAAACTGGTTCAGGGGATTATAAAATATTTTAAACCTAGTAATCACATTAAATGCAGCAGAAGTTGAGCAGCAAATCATGTATAGAACCTCTGAGGGAAGTGGTTGTGTGATGCTTATAAAGAACTGGTAGGCTTGAATTGCTGACCTTGTTGTACTTATCCTAATTATTCGGTGCTTGTTAAATATCTCCTGAGATATTTAAGACCAAAGGAGGGTAAACATCTGACAAAACTGGATAGAAGAATCTCTTTTTTTCAACTCCTTCCCTGACTGCTGATTTACATGCTCCAGCTTCACCCAAAGACGACCAGATATCATGGCTTATACCCGCTGTCGGGATATAAATGTTATAGCAACACTATTCACCCCCATGAGCATCCCAGTTGCTATAAATTGTAAGAGCATCCTAAGTCAGAGTTCTACTCTGACACACATGGGTTTACCATGAGTCAGAATCAATTTCATAGCAACTGGGTTGTTGTTGTTTTTTTAAGATTCAGATAAATAATCCAATAAGACCTTTTAATTAATATGAGATAACTAATGCTAACATAACAAGTGGATATGATTCTAGATGAGAGGAAAGGAGCATAATATTTTTGTACATCAAATATTGGCAAGCATATGGCATATGCCACCACCTGCCTGCCCTATGACAATAGCGTTAATCAGCCATGGCAGCCATTACCAATTGGTCAGATGGAAAATGTTTACTTACTTGAGGTTACCCTGAGTAGCCAACCCTATCCAAAGGTTTTTGAGATTTTGAGAACATACCTCTAGAATGTCCATTATTATCTCTATGGAGAAACTCAGTTGAAAGCTACCTTGATGTATAGTAAAGAGTAGGAAGCTCTGAAATCAAACGGATATGGCTAGGTTTACATCCTGCCTCTGCTATTTCCTGGCTGTATGACTTTGGACATGGTACTAAAGGTTTCTAAGCCTCCGTTTCCACACTAATAATTGAAGACAAAAATAGCTACCATATTGGATTTAGGAGGGTTAAATCTAATTACCCAGATAAAGAAATGCGATGTCATATGTATTAAACATATGTATACTTCCCTTTTCCAACTCTCCTCTTTTTTCCTGATACTTGGCTCTAACAGACCCTGTGGAGAAGTTTTTGGACTAGAAATTTTTCCAGGTTACCTCAAATTTTATCCCCTTCATGGATCATCACTGTTCTACCTACTCATAGAACTTTGACTTGTATATTTTTATGTTTTCTATTCCTCTTTGGAGTCCTGGTATGTTTATGACACTGTAGATAAGCACTAGACCACAAAGTTAATTAGTACCTCAAGGATGGTGGTTCAAATTCACCAGTCACACCTCAGAAATCATGTACAGGGTCACTATGAGTCAGAATCGACTCAACGGCACTTAACAACAACAACTCCTAGAGTGAGGCTGAACTTGAAATACATACAAGTATTAACTAAAATTTAACAGAAATGAAAATAATAGGTGTAAATCTTTGAGACTCTATCATGAGATACAAAAGGCGGTTTCCAAGTCTAATCTCATAACCTCTACTTTCTCATCCCATACCCACCCACTGCTGTTGAGTCAACTCCCAACTCATAGTGACTCTGTAAGACAGACTAAATCTGTTCCCTAGGGTTTCTGAAACTAACTCTTTACTGGAGCAGACAGCCTCATCTTTCTCCCACAGAGCAGCTAGTGGGTGCAAACTTTGTAGTGAGCAGCTCAACACTTAACCCACTGTGCCACCAGGGCTCCTTTTCCATCCCACCAAACCAAAACAACCCTAACCCACAACCATGGAGTCAATTCCGACTCATAATGACTCTGAATAGGGTTTCTGAGGCTGTAAATCTTTATAGGCACAGAAAACCTCATCTTTCTCCCATTAAGCAGCTGGTGGGTTTGAACTGCCAACCTGTGGTTAGTAGTTCAGTGCTTATCCTATAGCTTCACCAGGGTCCTCCAACTATAGGATTAATCATACTTCCTGATGTACACTTGTTGTCATGTTATAATTGTTAACAGGGGAGGGGTAGGGTTTAGGGAACTTAAGGGCATTCCCCCCTCTAAGTTCCTGAAAAGCGTTTTATAAAATGAGGCAGCCTGGAGCCCAGTGCAGAGGCAGAGAAGGGAGATTTCAAAAGTCTAAGACTTTGGTTTAGTATCCTTCATGATTTCTGGTGGTGCAATGGCTAAATGCCCGGGTGCTAACCAGAAGATCAGTAGTTTGACTCCACCAGCCACTCCATGGAAAAAGATGTGGCAGTCCACTTCTGTAAAGATTTACAGCCTTACAAACTTATGGGCATTTCTACATTGTCCTACGGGGTCACTACAAGTCAGAATTGACTCAATGACAATGAGCTTGGGATTTTTTGTTGTTTAGTATTCTTCAAGCTCCCTAGAAGGGAATGCAGGAAGGGGTAGTTAGTAGGACTCCAGAAGAAGATGGTGATGTGCTGCCTTAAGGCAGGGCTGGAGTCAAGTATCCTGACCCCAAGTAGCCTTGAAAACTGCAGAACCATTCACACTTAGACAACCTTGTCCAATGTATTTATAAGAAGTGAATTGTGTGGACCTAATTCCAAAGAGTTGTCCTTAAATGTTCTCCTCTGCTGAAAGTAAGGACATTTGCTGGAGAGCAAGAGGGGAAGGTAGACTATGAACTCTAATAATAACTGAAAAAAGACCTCAGAATAAGATTTAATTTTCTTGGCTTGGACAGCTGCATCTCCCAGAAGGGCCAGAGGCGATATAACTTCCTCCCGCCCCAAGTCTCCCCACCCTGGCTTGAGACCCCAATAAAAATTGGTCGGGTGCAGCTCACCCATGCACGGAGAGTGTGAAGAATTCTGGAGAGTGTAAGAAAGGCTGCAGTGGCTATTGGTGTCATCCATCATCCCCCATTTGTCGCTGCAGCTAAGCCCCCTGCCCCCACTCCTAGCTAGCAGTGGGATCTCACAAAGGAGGCATTCATATACCAGTCCCACGGCTTTTGGACTATCATAATCTCTCCTGGGCTCATATTTTTTAGAAACTGCGCTAACAAGGATAAAGAAAAGCGAGTATTTTGTGACTCTTTCCTGCGGAGACTACGGGTCACTCCTGTGACTGCATAGTTTAGAGAGTGGGACCAGGGCTGGCCCGCTCAGACAGCTGCGTCTCCCAGAAGGGCCAGAGGCGATATAACTTCCTCCCGCCCCAAGTCTTCCCGCCCTGGCTTGAGATCCCAATAAAAATCAGCCGGTACAGCACACCCACGTGCGGAGAGTTCTTGTTGACTACACATCCCTCCTGAAGGTGGGAACTTATCCTCCCTATGTCCCATAAGAAGAAATAGCAATAGTGGCCATACAGCCAAGCTACAACATAATACTCCACCACTTAGACGAGACCCAAAAACATTTGCTATGCATTACAGACAAAAAGGGAAGCCCATCTCCTGATCACATGAATAACAATAATAATAATAATAAAACAATAACCATGACCAATAAGAAACAATCAACTTTATCAAAGCATGTCCAAAAGCAGAAGAAAGGAACTGACGCAAATGAGCTGGAGACAGACAAAGCCTTCATAGAGGAAGAGGAGCAAGTTTTGGATATGCTTGAGAGGGAATTCAGAAGAATGATATGGAAACAAATTCAAATAATCTGAAAAGGGGTCGAGGAAAATAAGGAAGAAGTAAAAAAAATTCTCCAGGAACAATCAAATAGGATAGACACAGCATTGGAAACAATTCAAAACCTGCAAGAAGATGTCCAGGTGATCAATAATAAGATATCAG